GTTCTTTTTTTTTTTTTTTTTTTTCTTTTTTTTTTTGGCTGTGGTGCCTAGGCATAGGCGAAATGCGTTAGGAGGTGGGTTTGATAAAACACGTCCTCAAAAGCTTAATACGACTCATTCTGTCACTGCAAAAGGCTTTGCAAGTGTGGGAGAAGCATTAATCACGTTCCTCCATTCTACGGGAGAAACAATACCCTTCGAGCAGCAGACGAGTTACAGTTGAAGTGGCCTGGCCAACCCGGACCATTATCAAAGTGGGCCGGTTTTAGCGGCTAAAATCAAACCCGGCCCACCGATTTTAGTAGTCCGGCTGACCGGTTTTGGCTGCCAATATCTGTCCGCCGGACATTTTTTGGCCCGGACCAGTTTTTGCGTGACAGGTGTGGCCTATTAATTTTTTTTTAAATGATTTTATGATATTGCCACCGTCTACTCTCAGTCTCAGATTATGTTGTTGACGTCCCTTCAGCTTTTAAAATGGGCAAAAGTTGTCTGATGTTTGTCTGTCGAAAATCGCCAACAGTAAAGTTATATATTTTTTTAAATACAGTATAACAAGATCCAAAATTGAATCATTCATCATTGCTAATACAATAATTTTTTTTCTTCTTGAAATTCCAAATATAACAATAAATGTAAGCATAAAATATCGAAAGATTGTATGACTGACAAATGGTACAATGGTAGGCCAAGACCTGTTCGGGAGGTCCTGAAAAATAAGCCTGTCTACCATACTGTATCTCATAAATTATCTTTTTAACCCACTGCCAGCATTGAAAAAAAAAACGCATTAATAATTAGTCCTATACCAAACTACTGTTTAGTAAAGAAAAATAAACAATTTATGCCAAATGACAAGTGACGTAATTTTTAAAATTATTAAAGTGACTCATGAGGGCGTACGTACTGTATTTCACATTGTGGCGCAATGGATGCAGTTAATACAGATTGTAGAGGCATAGACTAGCTCGGCGTTTGTTTCAAAGCCTGTTAAGTACTCATAACATCTAGGAATATACTGTACTGTAGAGGACCTGCTTTACAGAAGTAATTTTTTGTTTTATTCGTAGGTAGTGAAATGCACATCTTTTTCAAAATGGAAGGCAAGACTTTTAAAGCCAACACTTGATCTAGAAATGACCAACAACAACAGAGCAAAACGACTTGCGGCCCCCAGCGAAAGGGCCCGATGATACTGGCAAATAGAAATAGGCTAGGACCTAGAGCCTACTGTAGGTGCTGTACATACAGTGGGCTCTAGGTGTAGGCCTAGTCCAGTAATACCAGTTAGTCTGCTATTATGCCAAGCCTACCTAAAAACGATGACGGTCTAGGCTTAAAGTAGAATGCCTAGTCCTTCAATAGTGAGCCTGATCAAATATAATATTAATTTTTAAATTTGTATTGTAGCTTGACCTAGGCCCTATCTATGACATATGTAGGGCCTAGTTAGGGCCAGGCAGGTACAGACGTCGTAGTAGAACTAGCCTAGGCCTACAATAGCTACTGTAGGCCCTAGGCCCTGCTTCGTAATATTTAGCATTATGTAAGTGCTATTATTATGTATATGTAAGATGGTACAGTAAGAAAGACCCTGGAAATCCTGTAGTACATGCATAACATGCTCCTATATGGCCTAAATAATGACATGTGATGTTTTCTTCTAATAGTAATGACAACATTTGAAGTTAAAAGGTTGCTGTTAACCTCAGCTGCCACATTGGTGATGGTAGTCTGGACCTATTTTTGGTTTCGAAAATCAGAAGATGAGGGTTCGGAGGATGACGTAAGAGAACCCAAGGAGTTAAAACCAATTTCAAAGTACAGAAATGATAGCAGAACGATTGTAGTCATCAGTACCAAAGAAGACTTTAAAGATGTTCTACCAAAGCTTATAAATGACCTACATGCTTTTAAGGTACAATGTATAGATGTCGTAAAACAGCTTAAAGATGTATTGTCCCTTGCTAATGTCGAAAAATCATAAACAAATTTTTGAAATAAACTTGCTCATATTGCAATAGCTTACAAATTATTAACTTGTGCATAAAAATTATCGAATTAAAAAAAATATGTACCCTGATTTTTAAACCAAAAAATCAGTAGTGAGCTTGGCTGGTGAATGTAATTCATTATGATAATACGAAGCCAGAGGTGAACAGGGCTCCGGGGAATGGAGCCAAAATATTTTATACAGTGCAGCGGGTTAGTAATAATAAGTTTGTTTACTTCATTACCACTACGACTGACAATGAATGGTAACATAGGGTCAGAATGGCTAATAAACAATACAAAGCTACAATGTTGATAATAACCCTGAGAAAGCTCAACAGACTCAGCAACAACATGAAAATATTGTCAGTGAGAGGGGGATTTTTTTTTTAGCTTTTACCAGACATTCTCTTTTGAGAATAATGTTATTTTTACTGCAGGTTTTAGGTTTAGACTGTGAATGGTGTACTAAAGTGAAGGAAGTTAAGCCAGTCGCATTGTTACAGATTGCCACTAACACTGGCTTATGTATACTCATCAGAATGAACCATTTCAAGTCCCAAGCTCAACTGCCAACTGAACTTCTTGATATATTAGCAGACAAAAGGTATGAATACTGTAATTAAATACTGAAATTATTAACCGCAAAGCTACTGAATTCTAGTATTAGTGCAGTTTATTTTTTTTTTATCTTTCATGTGGGAAGCTCCCACTTTTATTATCTGCTTGTTTACATAGACCAACTCAACTGATGAAAGGGAAAATAATACCATGTTGAGTACCTTCACAATAAATTTTGCTAAAAACGAAACAATATGGCATTTTGATAATATCATTGTCCATTTTTTGTAAAAATTCTTTAACCTTTTTAATTATTTTAAAAGTTTTTCTAGTATTTGCATTGTTGACAGTAAGACAGTACTTTTTATTATTATTTTTTTGTTTTTAATTATTCCTAATATCATTACTACAATGCCAAAATAGTTTAATTAACAGTACACATAGAAGAACGCACATGTATTGAATTACCAGTATATACTTAACAAAAGGTTCAGGCCAAATAACATATTTATATGTAACAAATTTATCAATACAAGTATGTAGTTGATATTGATTTTTGCTGTTTTAAGCCCAGATGACAATGTGAAATTTTATGTGATTTGCCCAAGAATGATATGATATCTTTTATTTTATGCCCATCAATAGCGCTGGGATGGCCAGTGCAAACCACTGGGGCTATTAGGGACCAATTCATAAATAGTTCTAAAAATAATAATTAAGAATAATTTACAACCCAATATTTTGGAATAAAATAATGGCCTGTGGTCCCTTCAATATTATTTAGGTGTAGAGGAATAGTTGTTGATTACTGTGTTCATTTCAATTCAGTGGTGGATTCAAGGGGGCCCTACTCGGCCTGGGTCCCCTAAATTTTTCAAAATAGAAGTAAACTATTAAAGTTGAGATTGCCACTTCCGGACATCTAGGTGCCATAATCATAAATTTTCTTACCACAGCCACATTCATGGTGGGGCTGAGGTGGTCTTGACTCTTAATCAGTGAAGGTCTCTTCCTGAGCCCCTCTATTTTAAAATCCTGGATCCACCACTGCAGTTGTTTAATTTTACCTGCCACCAATTTTTAAAATTAGTTTAGAATTGCTGCTGAGAATACATAGGCCTCTCTTGAAATAGTTACGAAGGTTCCGATTAACATTAGTATTAGGGTTAGGGGGTAAAAAGTAGCACTTCTTATGATGAATTTTCTGAAAATGTCAATCAGTGTACCTATAGTCCTAGAGTTTTCGTTCTCCCAGCAACCCTGTTCCCCACAGCCTTCGGTTGACACTTCACATCAAATGGCCCGGCAATTAATCCTGCACTGGGAACAATTCTCGCCTAGCTACGCTGCTGACGCCCATGTATTGGCGAATTGCAGATAGAATGCGCATTGAAATCAACTTTTATAGCGCATTACACAATTCAGATTGTCTCAAAGCACTTGAAGAATATGAAAAGATAAAGAAAACTAACCAATGAACTATTCTGAAAGTAATCAAAAACAATTTACAAAGAATAAATTAAGAATGAACCAGGAACACTGCACTTTTCTGTAGCAATTTGATAAACAGTACTCACAGGTGCTCTAGTCATGCTGGTGACTAATCTATCCTGAAATAAGAAACAAAACGTGAAAAAATATCGCAAAGAGTGAACAAAAAAGTTAGAGAGACTGAAAAAGTTGTGTTGTCCTGTAACAACTAATTGTACTCTAATTTATTGCCATTTTGGTCCCTAACATAATTTAATAATCAACTTTAGTGATCATGATGAGACTGAGTTTATGTAGAGTATGACTCTTCATAAAAGTTTATCTTTTGTGTTTAGAATAGTTTTTGTTTTTTTTTTTGTTTATTTCAGTATCTATAAGGTTGGTGTTGGTATTATGGGAGATGTGAAAAGGTTAATGAAGGACTATGCAATAGCCCTCTGTGGCATCGTTGATTTGCGTCATTTGGCAATACGTCATCGTTCCATCCAACTATGCATTCAGGGTGGGAGTCTGAAAGAGCTGAGTGAAGTAGTGCTCGGAGTAGAAATGAATAAATCATTTGATCTGAAGTGCAGTGACTGGGAGGCTGACCTTCTCAAACCAGAACAAATACTTTACGCTGCGAATGATGCCCTTGTAGCCGTTGACATATTTCAAAATATAGTAATGATTAAGATGGCAAAAGATTTACCTAGCTTCAGCACATCTGAAAAATGGAACCATGTTGTTGTTCAGTGCAAGGGATTGGTTGATTGTGATTTTAAGGATAAGTTCAGAAGTAAGAGAAAAAAGGTTGATGTTAAGGGGTCACCGACGAAACCTGTTAAAATCTCATCAAAACCACCCAGTAGGATGTTTAGAACACGGAAAGAACCATTGTATCATAACTGCCGCTTAGAGGCCCCAGATGGTAGACAGCTTTGTATTTGTGATTTTAAGAAGGCTGAATGGTACGTAAGGAAGGGCATAGGTACTGTGGTGTCTGAAGATGAACCGTACACAGTGAGGTTGAACTTTGAACCTGCTGCAATACCAAGCAGTGATCAGGAATATTATCTACAGGATAAGGAAAATATCTGTGTTGTTTGCGGGAGGGGAGATATGTACATGCGAAAGTATGTCGTTCCACATGAATATAGAAGGTACTCTTCTTAATATTTTTGTTGTATAGTCCAAAATTGTACAAAACCTACTGTATTATTAATTTTTGTTATTAATTAATAATTACTGTTATGTTTCACCTTTATTAACTGTTTAACTGTAATTCCAAATGATAAATAAACTCCCCAAACGAGCAAATAATTTTAATTTCTTAGTATTATATTTGATTCCTTTTTTGCAATTCTTCAACCTTTGGCCTATTTGTTGTACATGTTTTTAGATGATTAAGCAAAAAAAATAAATTATGATCTATTACAATTTGCAAGTAAAGCCCAAATTAGCACAAAAAATATTCACTTTGTTGTACTGTGTTTTTCTTTCATATTCCAAGATATTTCCCAAAGAAGATGAGACATCATTCATCGCATGACGTCCTCCTCCTCTGCATTGACTGTCATCTGGAAAGCTGGAACCATGACCAATTTCTTCGACGCCAGCTCGCCAACGAGTGTAATGCCGACTTCGACAGAAATAACTCGGAGTACATTGAAGATCACACCGTGCTAAAAGTTCGTTCTGCAGCGAAAGCACTTCTGCGGAATCGCTGTACTATTCCAGAGCCTCGTATAAAAATACTGGAATCAACAGTCAAGAACTACTATAATGTGGACACGGTGGACGATACGTTACTTGAAAAAACAGTAAATTTAGAAACAAGGATTTTAAATGAGGAATTCACAGGGTCACATGGCAAAAAAGTTGTAATGCATAAAGCAAGGCAGAAAGACGGATTATTAGAGTTTGAAAGAATGTGGAGGAGGCATTTTGTTAACACTATGAAGCCACAGTTTTTACCAGCTCTGTGGTCAATTGATTATCAACATCCTGCCCTTGACGATTCTTCATAGTTTAGAGCAAACAAATTATTATTTTGTTTATAGTATTGTATTGTAATTGTGTTGTTGTTCTACGTTCAACCAGGAAATTATTATCACTATAACAACTCACTGATTCAACATTATACATATTCAAATTTTAATTTTAAAGAAACCATTGATACAAATAATTCATTTTAACCAGAGGTGACGGAACTAGGGGGTACTGCGTTATGGAGAGTAATGTGTGTCTGGAAATGGTCTGCCAGTTGGTTGTTACCATGCGCCAGTGATGTTGGAGTACAGCAAGATGAAACTATTTATGTAATGCATGAATAAAGTTCGGGGTTTGTCGGGTAGTGAAATGATTATTGTATATTTTAAGTGCTCCCTCCATGCATAAGTGTAAGCTAAATTACGGTGATTAAATAGCGAAGATATGGAGACAATTATTTCGAAGTTCCCTCTTTCCAAGAGGGGATGCAAATGCTTTGTGAGAATGTGTACGCCGCGGTACTCATTTTCACAAAGGAATACACGCAGCTGGTTAGCTAACAATATGCAAATGTTACATGAACACATGGGAAGAAAGGTGCAATCACGTTCTGTCTGTACTGTAGCGTGGGGGAGGGGAAGGAGGGCTAGCCTAATGATGTACTGTGTATAGTGGGTGACGATGAGGCATAAGATTAGGCCGAGGCCTAAGTAGATTGCAATTATATGTATAGAAAGTACACTTTCAAAAGAAATAAATTAAAATAAGAAAAAAAAAATTAACTAGGGCCTAAGAATAATTCAGTTGCAGACGTACCTTGTTTAAGTATTATATGCTAACTATGCGGCTCATGTAGCCCTTGACTAGGCAAGGCATTCATGTGCAAAGCAGTGGTGTTTGTTTATTCATGAAAAAAGCACGCCGGGAAAGTTTGCCTTACCAGGAAAAGGTGACATAATCTAGCTTATGACGTATGCATGCTAACGATAGTGTGAGTGTGACGTCACCAAAAATAAAAATTTTCTATTATAACCAAAATATTAATAACTACAAGGTTTGTGGGCGTAAATTCAATTAATATGAATTAAGGGTAGCACCATCTCCTTGCCATACAAATTACAGCTCCCATTGACGTCTCTGTCGAGAAATACGGGTAGCGGACATTTTTCTCGCAAATGTGACTACAAAACCATATAGAAATTTCACGTTCCACTTCTGACTCTGAGTTGTGCTTTGCACACGCCACTGAGGGCGGCGTTCCAGGAATTCTGCGTCCAGTTGTTAAAATTTAAAGTTATATTTTTACTCTAAGCCTGGTGTCATTGATACTTTCTTTGAATTCTTAAATCTCAATGTAATCCTGTTTCAATGTAATTTAGTGTATTTTATTCACAAATCATTACAGCAAAATAACAATAAATGTTTATATAAAAACAAGTAGTGAAATCAGAAATTGAAAGTTCCTGTCTTATGCTAGACCCTATGCAAAATCGTTGGTAGCATACGGAACACTTTTATTGGCATAACGAAAACGAAATGTGACGTGAACATTCTTAAAACCCACTATTGAGTTGCGATGGTGGAGAAATGATTAAGTTAGGTTTTGGTTTGTTTATATTCGCATCCAACACTAAGTACTAAACTAATTCCTCCATGGTACTAATCGCTGGAGTGCACATTTTCCCCTTCACTTTGCCTGCGGGCATCGCATAAACATCAACCAACTGCCCACGATTTTAGAAATGAACAATGTATTGAATTAACGCTGCACGCGGGGCCCGTGGTTCCCCTGTTCTGGACACGATATGCGTAGAGACGAACCTATTTTTTTAAATATTATACAGTATACAAACATTATACAAAACGATATTTTCATATATTACATGTCCAAGCCTGTTGTGTAGACATGTAGAATATGCAATTGATTTGAAACACGGGAGTGAACCAGGGACGTTTTGATCTTCAGTTTAACGCTCTCCCAACTGAGCTAATTCAGCTAGTAGACGAAATCCTTTAACCAAACAACATGAACTGCTGAAAACGGGAAAAAAAAATTCTAAAGCGATGCAACAGCCCAACAAAATTACCTTTTGAAAACAACTTTCTAAATAGGTAATGAAACAATGCGGGTTATGTTGACATGAAGAATATGCAATTAAATTGCATATTCTTCATGTTGACATGAAGAATTGCATATTCTTCATGTCAACATAAATTGCATATTCTTCATGTTGACATGAAAAATTGCATATTCTTTATGCAATTAAATTGATGTATTTAAAAAAGAGAATGCCGAAACCCGGGATTGAACCAGGGACCTTTAAATCTTCAGTCTAACGCTCTCCCAACTGAGCTATTTCGGCTGGTAGGCGAGCCGTACAGCCCAACAACATTACCTTTTGAAAACGAAAACCACTTTCTAAATAGGTAATGAAATAATGCGAGTTATGTTGACATGAAGAATATGCTATTAAATTGATGTATTTAAAAAAAAAGAATGCCGAAACCCGGGAATGAACCAGGGACCTTTAGATCTTCAGTCTAACGCTCTCCCAACTGAGCTATTTCGGCTGGTAGGCGAGATTTACAGCCCAACAACATTACCTTTTGAAAACGAAAACAACTTTCTAAATAGGTAATGAAATAATGCGAGTTATGTTGACATGAAGAACATGCAATTAAATTTATGTATTTAAAAAAAGAATGCCGAAACCCGGGATTGAACCAGGGACCTTTAGATCTTCAGTCTAACGCTCTCCCAACTGAGCTATTTCGGCTAGTGGAGATCTTCAGCCCAACAACATGACATACTGAAAACGAAAACAACTTTTTTAAAGTGATAATGAAATAAAGCGTGTTATGTAGACATGTACAATTATGCAATCAAATTTATGTATTTAAACTGAATGCCGAAACAACTACTGAAAACGAAAAAAAAAAATTAAAAAATTTTAGAGCGATGATGTAATAAAACATGTTAATGTAGGCCTAGACATGTAGGATATGCAATTAAATTAATGCATTTGAAAAGAAAATGCCGAAACCCGGGATTTAACCAGGGTCCTTTAGATCTTCAGTCTAACGCTCTCCCAACTGAGCTATTTCGGCTGGTAGGCGGGACTTACAGCCCAACAACATTACCTTTTGAAAACGAAAACAACTTTCTAAATAGGTAATGAAATAATGTGGGTTATGTTGACATGAAGAATATGCAATTAAATTGATGTATTTTGAAAAAAAATGCCGAAACTCGGGATTGAACCAGGGACCTTTAGATCTTCAGTCTAACGCTCTCCCAACTGAGCTATTTCGGCTGGTGGAGATCTTCAGCCCAACAACATGACATACTGAAAACGAAAAACAACTTTTTAAAGAGATAATGAAATAACGCGTGTTATGCAGACATGTACAATTATGCAATCAAATTGATGTATTTAAACTGAATGCCGAAACAACTACTGAAAACGAAAAAAAAAAATTCTAAAGCGATGATGTAATAAAACATGTTAATGTAGGCCTAGACATGTAGGATAGGCAATTAAATTAATGCATTTGAAAAAAAAAATGCCGAAACCCGGGATTGAACCAGGGACCTTTAGATCTTCAGTCTAACGCTCTCCCAACTGAGCTATTTCGGCTGATAGGCGAGATTTACAGCCCAACAACATTACCTTTTGAAAACGAAAACCACTTTCTAAATAGGTAATGAAATAATGCGAGTTATGTTGACATGAAGAATATGCTATTAAATTGATGTATTTAAAAAAGAGAATGCCGAAACCTGGGATTGAACCAGGGACCTTTAGATCTTCAGTCTAACGCTCTCATAACTGAGCTATTTCGGCTGGTAGGCGGGACTTACAGCCCAACAACATTACCTTTTGAAAACGAAAACAACTTTCTAAATAGGTAATGAAATAATGCGGGTTATGTTGACATGAAGAATATGCAATTAAATTGATGTATTTAAAAAAAAGAATGCCGAAACCCGGGATTGAACCAGGGACCTTTAGATCTTCAGTTTAACGCTCTCCCAACTGCGCTATTTCGGCTGGTAGGCGAGATTTACAGCCCAACAACATTACCTTTTGAAAACGAAAACAACTTTCTAAATAGGTAATGAAATAATGCGGGTTATGTTGACATGAAGAATATGCAATTAAATTTATGTATTTAAAAAAAGAATGCCGAAACCCGGGATTGAACCAGGGACCTTTAGATCTTCAGTCTAACGCTCTCCCAACTGAGCTATTTCGGCTAGTGGAGATCTTCAGCCCAACAACATGACATACTGAAAACGAAAACAACTTTTTAAAGCGATATTGAAATAAAGCGTGTTATGTAGACATGTACAATTATGCAATCAAATTTATGTATTTAAACTGAATGCCGAAACAACTACTGAAAACGAAAAAAAAAAAAATCTAGAGCGATGATGTAATAAAACATATTAATGTAGGCCTAGACATGTTGGATATGCAATTAAATTAATGCATTTGAAAAGAAAATGCCGAAACCCAAGATTGAACCAGGGTCCTTTAGATCTTCAGTCTAACGCTCTCCCAACTGAGCTATTTCGGCTGGTAGGCGAGATTTACAGCCCAACAACATTACCTTTTGAAAACGAAAACAACTTTCTAAATAGGTAATGAAATAATGCGGGTTATGTTGACATGAAGAATATGCAATTAAATTTATGTATTTAAAAGAAAGAATGCCGAAACCCGTGATTGAACCAGGGACCTTTAGATCTTCAGTCTAACGCTCTCCCAACTGAGCTATTTCGGCTGGTAGGCGAGATTTACAGCCCAACAACATTTGAAAACGAAAACCACTTTCTAAATAGGTAATGAAATAATGCAGGTTATGTTGACATGAAGAATATACAATTAAATTGATGTACCTTTAGATCTTCAGTCTAACGCTCTCCTAACTGAGCTATTTCGGCTGGTGGGCGAAACCGTTCAGCCAAACAACATGAACTACTTAAAGCGAAAAAAAAAAATTCTAAAGCGATGATGTAATAAAGCATGTTAATGTGTAGGCTTAGGCATGTAGGGTATGCAATTAAATTTTTGCGTTTGAAAAAATAATGCCGAAACCCGGATTGAACCAGGGACCTTTTAGTCTAACGATCTCCCAACTGAGATGATTTCTTTGCCCAAACAGAGGATGCTAAC